TCTGTCTGGATATATAAACGTATCAATAAAGATCACGCACCTTGCGTACGTTCCACTAAAAAAAAAAAAAAAAAAAATAAAAGCAAATTTATTAATTTCTATTATTATAGGCCAAGAATCCATAAAAGTCACCTGACTATTTGTTTTTATTATTATTGAAACTTATAAAAATTGATATATTAATTCTAAAAATTATTTCATTTTACTAGATATAAATATATTAATTATTTTGAATATAAAAATTTAATGCAAGAACATTGGAATTATGAATATGATAATCAAAGGCTGATTTTGAAAAAGCAAAAATTATACAAATAATTTATTGAAATTATAAGAATAGACCTGAATTATTAGCAACCCAAGCTTGAAATGCAATAAGAAATAACAGTACTTCTGATAATAAAAAATTTCTAGATTTAACTCAACATTAATAAAAAATCCTCAGACTTAAGAACTATTTAATCAATGGTGTACTAAATGAATTAAATTATATAAAAACAATCCATGATATGCAGTTTTGTTATTAATAGACAATATAAAGAATATTATATTCCAGATGATTAGATAGATTATAAAAAGATATAATTGCATATTAGATTTCAAAAGTGACTTTTAGAAATAGAAGTATAGTATTTAATCAATTATAACTTATTCATATATATCCCGCCTTCTTGTGACTCTATCACTCGAAGCCAGAAAAATAGATGCAGAAAGTCTTACATACAATAGATAATGACATTATCTTTTTCCAAACATGAGAGGAAAAGGAATAACTCACTTAAAGTATTCCTAAGGGTTAATACTTTAGACTCTATTTCATTATCTTTTCTAAAGGAAAGCAAGAAACATTTTTTACTTTGATTTTTTCATACCAACCTGTTTTATGGGTAAAAAATTTCTAGTGTAGAAAATAGATCGTGCTTGTTATTATTACACATCTACTTAAATTTCACATAAGATGGATATTATATTATTTTATTATAAATATGAATCAGACCGCTTTTTTTTTGCCATGACTTTGTTACGTGTATTTTTCTCATTTCAATAAAGGCATCATCTATTTTTGTTTATAAAGTGTCTTTGCTCAGTCTCGTTGCGAGGTTTTCTCGCCCTGCTGTGCGTACTCTCCGACCAAGACTCTTTTCCCTAACTTTGCAACAAAGAAAAAAAGCCGAGTCTACAATCTCCTCATCTATCGACAATCTCCCTTCCTACGCATATAAATTTAAAAACACGAGATATTGACCTACTGAGAGTGGGCTTCAAACCAGCCTCAAGCGAGAGCGCTGTTATATTCGATGTTGAAGGTGAGCTATATTGTATCAGCAATTTCTTAGCGAACCTAATACTTATAGCTTAAATATTGTCTAGTCACTGAATTTCCCGGGCATTATGTTCTTAAAATACTTGAAGGTCGACGTTCGACGCTAGAAAGCTTGGAAAGGATCTCGGATCAAACGTTTGTTATTAAATTACATGACGTCATTCTGAATGATCTTCAGGTGGTTGGTACAGATGAAACCTTTACCGATACATATGTATGTGGATAACCTACTTCGTATCTCTAAGCTAAATAGCTTCCCTTAACGATCAGGTATGTTCTAATATTTGCATTTTCAAAATCAAGAAATCAACCGCCACGAAAATTATACATCTAGAATGTTGCACGCGTGACATCAGTCCCTGATTTCGCAATTAGAAAAAATAATAAAACTGTAATATTGTTGTGATAGATGTCTGTTTATTATTGACTGCTTTGTGAGTTATTATTTTCGCTGATTCAAACAATGTGTTTTAACAGGACAAACAACTGAAAAATGTTGGGCCAAGCAATGAATTTGGAGAAGCACAAATCGCAGTAGAGATTCTCGCTTGTGATTGCGAGAATATACGTTCCATTGGCGAATATATAGATCAGACATTATGGGCAGTTCGTATAATTTCCACATATGTTACGTTTTATAAAGCATTAGTTCCTGCGATGTATTAGGAGTTTGATAAAGGTTTGCCAAAAAACCAGTCAATGACAGTTAAAAGATGGCCGGCTAGGAATAAACTCAAGACTAGTTTCGATCTCGCTCAGCCAAAAGGAAGACAGGCAGTGTTGATGGCGTTAGCCAAAATTCGTCAATCACTTTTACAAGGAGGGGAGGTAGAGGAAGGTGAAGAGGAAGAGGAAGACGAACAACTATTGTCATAATGTAATGGGATTATTTAATCGTGCTGGAGAGCAGTTTATAGTGTTTTATAGGAAAAGCAGATAATATTAATTGACTGGATTTCCATGCCTACATAATTCAAAATTTGATTCTCACTGGTTGGTTCCTTTATCCGCTTTGTGCAAGTGAAAAAAAAATTGAACGAAAAAACCTTAGATTACATCAAATTTTAAACAAAATTTGAAGTTCATGTATCATTAAACATAAGCTAATTCAGAATAAATCATGCATAGCCTTGCATATGTCATGCAGATAAATTGATGCATATTTTTTAGTCACAAATTTAAATAAATCCGCAATATATAAAAAGCATGTCTTCCGAAAGATATTTGCTCAAACAAGAAAATGCTAAGCTAGTAGCCAAGAATGCTGAGCTTAAGCACGAAAACTCAAAACTAAAACAGATTATAAAAGATAATGCCGAATTTAAGGCCAAAATCATGAAACTGGAACAAACTGTTGATAAATTGAGAAACAGAATTGAATAAAAAAATATCAGATATGTTGAGTGGCATTTCGCAGTGAATAAATTGATCATTCGATTAGTTGTTTGATTGTTATGCAAAGCATAAGCAAGGCTCTATATAGTGCAATGATAATTTGTTAAGGACGCGCCTGCGAGTTTAACCCAGAAATTGCACGTTTTTTATATCAGTAGTTCATAAAGGCGATTAGCGGAGCTAGTACGACCAATATATCTTAATTTCGCAAAACAAAGATGAATTGGCTTAGTTTCTTGCGCATCTCATGAGTATGCCTTCTCTTAACATGAATTATACCTGGTTTATTCTTTGTGAACATGGCATTGGTTCCCGCCTCTCGTGACTCCATCACTCGAAGTCAGTTAATTATATATCTTTATCTAGATGGCTATATATCTTTTTCGAACCTGTGAGAAAAAGGGATTTTGCTCTAAGTAATTAATTCGTAGCTTCATTATAATTCGAACGCAAAACAAGATTCATGTTGGGCAAAATATTACGGTTAATGAACCTAATGAATTGGGAATCGAAATACACCCGAAATAGATCGATTTACATAGTGAAATAAACTACCTACCCTTCCTGATGTTGCTTTTTTTTTTCTTGCAAAGTACATACTATTCTTCTTGAGCAAGATATTTTCAATATGTCAAGTGAAGATCGTTCAAAGTTAAAATATTCAGGTGAGTCTACTTTGTACCTATTATTATTTTTATTAGTCAAATGATGAAAGAATACTACAACTTGGCATTCAGATTATCGGAACTGAGACTTTAACGCCTGGAGAAACTTAAACGATTGGGGCACCTACTGGGTCAAAAAGCAAACACAGCCAACGTTAATTACCAAGCACAATTTCCACGTAGCCTTAGGTGATGAACTGAGATGCCTGAAGAAAATATATACAAGTACACAACCTGCTTATAATAAAATCTGTAATTTGCAAAAAGGATTGAAGGGAAATATAAATAAGTTCATCCTTCAGGAGGATAACAGTGTACTCTATGGCTAATCCAGCAGACGAGTTTTGAGATGGTTTTGACGAGTTTAAAACTGATGGGTAGTGCCGAGTGTACGTGGCCATGGAAACACTGTGCTGAGACGTGTTTTCAGACAGGGAAGGGGGCCGAGTGTCTAGCCGAGGAGGGACGAATTCCCGTGGCTTGTAGTGGACTTCCTTCCTCCTGTTTTTATATTGAGATAAAGATGATTATATCGTTACAATTAATCTTATTATTATTTTTATCTATAGGAAAATTCTAAGAATGAACAAAACAAAAAAATTTAGAAGAAATACAATAAATATAGGTCATTAAGACTCGAGTCTCAATTGGTTGACATGGAATTAGCCGTTGATAAGGCAAGTGGTTTATGAGCCTTTGATATTTCTTAACGGTCTGTTCTTACTCATTTCTTTATTGTAGAAGAAGGGCATTTGAGATGGTCTGAATATAGCTCAGAAAGGGTTCCAAATGTATTCTAAGATGGATTTTGAATCAGTTGAAAGAGAATGGAAAAGGCTCAATAAGCATGCTGGAAATGTTCTTTCTGATGGTTCAGTGCTACCATCATCATTACCATCATCACCATATTTCATTTCTTTGAGTAATGAAGAGAGTAATTCTTTAATATAGTTCTGAAAATTAGAATCAAACAGAATTGTATGAAATCACAAGAGGTTTGAAACATTATTAAAAATGATAGTGTGTTATATCCTACTTATTAAATTTAATATAAACTTAAGAATCAAATACAGAATTGAAGAGAATCATTAGAATTTTTATTTTTTGATAATGTTATCTAATGTAATTATATGTAATAGTAATAACAATAACAACAAAAAAATTTCTTCTTTAGACAGTATTAACAATTATATGCTAGCTAATATACAAAATTGAAGTTTACTTTCAAAAAGATTTATTAAAAATATTTTTGTTAAAAATATATCTTAATATGTTAATATCTTAAAAAATAAGAAGAAAATAAATACAGATGAGAAAGTTATCTTGAGATATGATATTTCAAGAATCATTGGTTTCTTAATATATATATGGGATAGTTTTCTATTAGTAAATATCAACATATAATAAAGAATTATAAAGAAATTCTCAAAATTTCTGAGTTGATAGAAAATACTAATGAGTTTATTGTAAAAATAGAAAGAGTAAAGATATATATGTATATTTGATAATGTTTTACATACAATAAGATACAAAAAATTATGAAATATTATTTATATAATATAAATATATATAATTTTTTCAAAACAAAAACAATTTACATGAAATTTTAAATATGTAAGTAACATATTCCAAATAATATATATAGGTACTTAAAATTATCTAATCATTTTATTTTTATTACAAACTTATTCTTACAGTATTATTTTTTTAAAAAAATATTTAATGACAAACTATATTATATTTGTAAAATAATGAAATTAATTTTATATATAAAATATATTCCAAAATTGATATAAACATGTCAATTATTTATTACAATCTCAAAAAATTAAATTCAAAAGACAATAATTCAAGAAAATCAGGTAATGGTCATCTTAAAAAGATTACAATATATGAATCAAAAGCAATTAATCAATATTTACATTATAATTTAAGACTTTCCTCAAGAACTTTAGTAATTAAATTATTAAATATTAATACTGTACTTTAATATTACATTTAACAATTTTATGATATTTAACTAATTTGAGTTACAAAAATAATGTATCTTTAAAAATATCTATACTTACTATTGCTTATAAAACAGTTTGTATTATTTGAATAAAAAAATATCTTAATAATAATTGAAAAAAAAATATTTTTTAAAAAAACAGTATTTCAACTATTTAGAAATACAATTACTTAATAATATAAAAACACAAAACCAGTTAGAACAATGTTTAAAAATTGTACTAAAATTATTATATAAAAAAGATTTTATACAAAAGAAAAAACTTCTTTTTTTTATTTATAAATGAAAAATTTTATATTAAAATTTTATAAAATCATAAACAAAAATTAATAAACTATTTGGAAACACTTGATACTTTTAACAAAATAATGATTCCAAATATATAAGTAAAATTGCTAAGGCATTTTTAAATGAAAATTTTTCTGAAATTATTAATTGACATTCTAATAGTCCAAATTTAAAAACTTTTGAACTATTACTAAAAGAAATGTAAAAATAAAATTACTAAAAAATATTTTAAAATTAAAACAATTTATAATAGAAAAATGAAATAAAATTTCAAATAAGATTTTAAATAATTTTATAAATTCAATAAAAAAAAAATATGAATTAATAATTGAAAGTAATATATATATATATATATATATATTTTAAAGGAGCAGAAGGCTATTATACTTTATTTTATTATTATAATTTTAAATTTGTGAGTACAAGATTTATAATATATTTACAGTATAATATATATCTCTATTTATTAAAAAAAGTCAAATGCAAGGCTTTGCAAATACAATCCATTCTCTGTGCTCCTTAGCACCACCCAAGAATATAAAAAAAAAAGTTCAAAACCTATATTATATCTCAAATAGTGTCTAGCTACCTAAAGAAATTTAATATCTAATCATATGAAGGTACTGCAGCTACTATATACAGGTTGGCCTCCAAGTTATAACTAGGATTGGCAAGCTTGCTTTTCAAATATGACTTGATGTACAGTAAGCTGAATGTGTTCTATCTTATACTTTATCTGAATAACTTGCTCAATTAGTTAAGTAATAGTTACTCTAGCTCAAATATCTCATAGAGATTGGCCTTTTATCCAATCACCTAGTATTTGACCTTCTCTACCCTTCTAGGATTGCAGCAAATTATAAGTTACCCAGGCTTGTAGCAGTTGCCTATACCTGCGGCAAGTAGGGAAGAGAATAGTCATTCTTCATAAGAAGCTTTGCATGCATAGCCACATATTTAAGTATTTGAATAGAATCCAGCACAAGTATAAAGTAGGGGAAGATGAAAGAAGAGTGTTTAGATATGTAGTAATGGTTGTTAAGGGAAGTTGTTGGATATAATTAAGTTGAAGTTTCTTATAAATATTGTTACCTAATCTTGTACAATAAATTTATATTGTTGGAAAAGTGAGCAAAGAACTTTTGTTATTGTCACCAGCTTGTGTTATGGGATAACTAGAATCCCTGGTCTTCATGTATTATCCTACTAGATTTCACCAATCACTAGCATGACACCTGCAAACTAACCTAGCTTATTGTTAGCTGCATTGACATTGGCTGCCATATCCTTCTGGATACAGTGAGACACAACTTCTTAAATACTTTTGGATAATAATAGTTATTTACTGGTTTCTTAGATGTATCTAGTTTAACCATCAACAAATTAACAATATCAAATTTGATAATAATGACCATAGCAATCTTTTGAAGAGGGTAAGTCATCTGTTCTTTTTCTATAAGGCCATAGAAGAGAGAAAAATTTTGAAGCCCACATCTTGAGAAAAGTTATTACTTCTGAATATGGTCTTGAAAAAAGGGAGTCAACTGGCCAGGGGGTTAATGTTATGAAGAGTGGGTTTATAAAAGAAAGAGAGGCTTAGAAAAAAAACCTTCAGGAAAAAGGGAAAACCTAACTTCGGCAGGGAAGGAAAAAAAGAAAAGAGAAGAGATGGATTTTATATAAAGAGTATATAGAAAGGAGATGTGAAAATAGAAAAGAGAAAATAAAAAGATATAGGAGAGGGGAAGTAACAAAGAAGAAAAAGAGAAGAGCAAAAGAAAAAATAAACAACTCAAAAATTTTCTAAAAAGAAAATTTTCAAGTGCAAAAGTGAAAGTGAAAAAGAGTTTTTGAAATGTTAATTGAAAGTAATAAATTAATAATTATATATTAATAAAAATTTTAGATTTTTAGCTTTATTTTAATATATTTTTTATTAATTTCTATACAGTAGTTTTTGAATAATAAATAAACAAATAAAATTTAAAAATTTTTGCATTATATTACAGTGTGATCCATAAGTATCCAGAAAATTAGCTGCAAAAAAAAAAGATGTAATTTTGCCAAATTAAGATCGATTTTTATGATCTAAAATAAAAAAGAATCCACAGATATGTGGAAATATTTATGTGCTCTTTTGTGATACCAATCATTGGTTTTTTTTTTGAAAAATTCTTCTATATAATCATGATTTCTAAGCAAAAAACCAACTGTCAATTCATTTTACAATTGTGAACTTAGGGAATTCGGAACACCAAAGAAATTCAGGGTATAACTAACATAGTCTTGTCTACAATATATAAAAATATCAATAAACTCAAAAAAAATAACATGAATGAACATGCCAAAAGCAAAGGTAGGCTCAAAAAAATAACGACAGAGTATCAAAGGCATTAGGACAATATATATAAAGGGATTCATCTATTTCAATGAGAACCCTGGTGACAAAGTTGTTAAAAATCAATGTAAAAGTATCTTATAAAATGATTGAAAGGCATTTGGCTGCTTTTGGATACAAAAAAAAACCTCCCAATAGCAACTTCAATACTTACCAACACTTATAAGCATAAACATATAGAATAGGTCCAAAAGCACCTAGGCAACAATTGAAATAATACATTTTTTTCAGATAAGACAGCCTTTTTACTCTTTTAGAATATAGTGAAGTGTTGGTATAAAGGAGCATGGCCAATATGACACTTATTTAAGAATTGAATAAAGATCTTTGTGTGGAAAGAATTTTGCATAAGGGTAAAAATAGTTTATTTTGTTTTTCAGAAATTATGGATCCTGAACTTTATATCAATATTCTTCACAGACATATTCCAGAAATCAAGCAATTATTAGGTGATGAATGGCAATGTCAGTAAGATAATGACCTGAAATATACAAGTTATCTTACTAAAGCATTTCTTTAGGAGAATATACCTGAAGTTTTGGACTGACTTTTTAACAGTTCTAATTCAAACCTTATTAAAAATCTTTGAGGCATTGTTAAGAACACTGTAGAAAAGCATATTCTGAAAGATTTGAATGAATTATATCATTTTATTATAGAAGTATGGAGAAGTATTTCTGAATCTACTCTAATTAATTTGGTAAGGTCTATAAAACAACATTGTAAACTTATTATTGAAAGAAATAGTAACCATATTTTGTATTAAAAATAGTTTAATAAATTGGCTAGTTTCAGCCTTCATAATATATAAATTTCACATGATTTAAATTATTGGTTATGACATAGTAAGTAATTTTTTAATTCTGGATATTTATGGACCATATTGTATATATTTATTTTTTTGCTAATACATATATAAAAAAAAACAATATTAACAAAGTATACAAATATTGTTTTAATTAATATACAAATATATCAGTCTATACTTATCTTTATAAAATAAGTAGTGTTTATTTTTTTATTTTTTTTTTTTTTTTAAGGCTAAGTTGCGATACACGCATGGATTTTATTGATGATGCATTACTATCACAATTA